AATGATTCTCATTTTTTATTTCAACCGTTGCGTATATTAGCTGCGACATATGAATCAAGATGCTATGACGGGAAAAATTTGATTGACAGATGACCGTTGATATATGATTGGCCGAATTTAGGTGTTCAGGCTGACGTAGAACTAACTGGCCTGCAGAAGACAACAAAAATAACACAGATTTTAACACAGGATTTTATTAAAAATAGACATTTTCTGCCTATGTACAGCTGTACCCTGGGGAATGGGAGGGGTGGGTGGGGGGTCTACCAGCCTTTTTCTGTTCATTTCTGTTCATGTTTGTATTTTATTTGACAATATGCAAGAAATCAATAAAATTTGAATTACAAAAAAAAAAAAAAAGACATTTTCTAACTTTAGGGACAATATCATCTGATAAAGATTACATTTATATACATGTTTTAAGCCAGAATGATTTGGAATTTAAACATGACTTCCTTATGACTTTAAAGAGCTCCTCCCAGGTGTAAAATATCTATTTGCTGTGGTTATGCATCATAACAGGTATCCAAAAAGGATTAAAAAAAAAATCTATGAAAATTCCTCCAGTTACACAGCGTTTAACAACAGTGGCAAAAACATCAGAAAAAAGATCCAAAAATGAAGGAATTCAAGTTCTCTTAAAAAGAATATCAGAGACAAGCTAGCGGAGCTACTCCAACTTGCAGCAACCTTATGAAGTTGAATATGTATATGTTTGTGCAATATGTGTATATATATATATATATATATATATATATATCTATATATATATATATATATCTATATATATATATAGATATATATATATCAGGACAAAATATTTGAACACAGTAAAGTTGCTCAAAGCTTTTTTTATTTTATTAGAAAGTTGTTTAAATTTCCGTTTACATAATGTGTTCTTTGCTGGAAGCAATGATGGAAGAAAACTGGCTCCATAGATATGCTGCCTGGGTTTTCTGTCCTCAGGCTGGCAGCCTCGCTGGTTTGTCCTGGAAGATGGGGTCATCTCGTACTACGACAGCGAGGATGACGTTGGTAAAGGCAGCAAAGGATCCATCAAGATGTCTGTCTGTGACATTAAAGGTTGGTTCACATGCATCCATTCCCAGTCACTTTACGGTGCAAGGAGAGGTGTCCATCACATGCCGCTGTCCTGTTTATGTCACAGTTCATCCCACTGACTCCACTCGCCTGGAACTGATTATTCCCGGCGAGCAGCATTTCTACGTGCGAGCCGTCAATGCAGCAGAGCGACAGAGGTGGCTGGTGGCTTTGGGTTCTTCAAAAGCTGGGACTCTGGAAAGCCACAAACACAGAGGTGAAAAAAAACAGCGCATGGTGTCTTGTTTTATGAAAAAAGAAACTGAATAAACCTTCTGTTCCAAATTTGTGTGCGTCACCAGGCTCTGACTGCCTGAAAACCAAGATGTCTGAACTTCGTTTGTACTGCGACCTCCTCGTCCAGCAGGTCCAGACGATCCAGGCTCAACACACTGCAGATATAGAGACCCCGCCCACTTCAGAGGTAAACAAAGGAAATAAATTAACCTATTTGTATTAAACCCTAATGATGTACTGCTGTTAATATAAATGTATATCATTGTATATCTGCTATACAATGACAATCTCAGTAAATATTTACCATTTTACTGAAAGCTGACAGATGCAAGTTTAACTCCTCTTTGGGCTGAAATCTCACATGACTTCCACTTCTACTATTCCTATTGGTGCAGAATCCTTTTGTGGCTTTGTTGATCTTAACCTTAAATTGCATATTTTTTGCCCTTCATAATGTATAATGCAAAATTTTCTTTTTCTTTTTTTGAGTTTTACAGACCCTGTGGCTCATTTTTATGGACAGTAGGTTGACAGGAAAGGGGGTATGAGAGAGGGGGAGAGACATGCAGCAAATACCGCAGGTTGGATTCAAACCGGGGTCGGCAGTGTCGAGTATTAAGGCCTCCATACATGGGTCGTGTGCACTAACCACTGCGCCACCAAAGCACAGCTAATGAAATAGTTTTCTTCTGTTGCACTCTTGATGTTCTCTAGGTGGAGCATACTCCAACATTTTATGAGGGGCAAATGCAGCACAGAAATATTGGCTCTGTTCGAAAACCTAGGACGCATCCTTAGAAGACCGGATTCGAAGGCCGATTACGTCATAGCGCGG